AGAGCACGGTGGTGGCAGCATCATGATTCAATAGTGAAAAACTGAGAGGGGGTGAATATGTTTTGTTGGCTCTGCATTCAACACTGTTTCAGCAGAGATGTCTGCATGGTTTGTTTGTGAGTTTACATACATGTGTTTATGCAGAACTGCAGCCGGTCCTGGTGCACGGAGGTCGTGTGCGACGTCCAGCAGCTCCTGAGAGGCCAAGCCGCCATCGTTCGGGTCAGCCGCAGAGTTCACGACGACTTTTTCAGAAAAGTGAGTCACAGAACGGATGCTCCACTTCTCGTCCCGTGACACCACCGTTGCTCATCATGTCTCTTTTATTCTTTTTTTTTTTCAGGCCAAATATAAGTCAGTGAGGATAATAGGGGCGTATCGCCTCACGGCTCAGGAGACGAACCTCATCACTCTGGGAACAGGAACCGTCTGGAGGGAGGTAAGGCTGCAGAAACACTCTCTAATCTCAGCTCTCGTCTTCCTCGTCTGCTGCAGAGCTTTTTTTGTGCTCACTATGATTTTCCCACCATCTGTCTAACTGCATTACGAACCTGGAATCTGTTCCACAAAGTGCACCAAGAAAAGTGGGGATTAAAGTCCAACGCCTGAGTTGAATGAACCGAACAAATCACATGTCGACGCATCGATGGTTAGCGGCTACCGTTAGAAAGATTAGAAGTATGTGAAGAATTGAAATATATGTTAACCAAGCAGAGGTTGTACAGCAGCCAGAAGTAAGTAGAGAAAAAAAAGGCTGAAACAAAGTGCAAGACGTTAAAACAGTAATAAAATATTTTGATAATTAAATCCAGGGTGGACCTAAAAGGGAGTCACAGGAAGCTTAATTGATGTTGGGAGCTCCGATGGAAGTATGATTTGTGAAACTTCAGCAGTGGACATGTTCCATCTGTTTTCTTGTTGGTTTTATTCATATTCTTCTTAATGGGAAAAATGCTAAATAATGGCAGAATCATTTATTTTACCTTTAAATTTTATATCTGCTCTTTCTTGCTACAAAAAAAAAAGTGAGCTCAATCAACAAATATACAAATCCATCAATAAATATTATTTATTCCACGCAAATTTTCTGTTAACTTTAATTTTTGGACTGATTCTGGTTAGTGAAAGCAATTAATGTGGCTGCAAACCAGACATTCGGCTGTAAAATCTGGGCTTTAACTCAGGATTATCTTGAGTTAACCGGTTAGCCTAAAGTTAGCCTGATCTACACCGGGTTAGTTTCTCTTTCTTTATGGAGCCGAAATAACCTGACAGTGATTTAAACTCACTAAATAAGTCTCTTTTTCTTGGTACACCAGATTTATGGAACAGTCAGGTGTAAACACAACATCTTCATTGTCACTACTTTCTGTTTCACTCTGATGAAGCCTGAAGTTTTAAAATGATTCATAATCTTGCCCCGGTTCTGGCAGTTACAGAAGGACGACAACATCTATCGGGAATAAACAATTAATCTAGTTTAAATTTAAAATCTTTATTTGAATCTCCATCTATTTCAATCTTCACACAATCTGCACCTTAACTGTATATATTTGTAAATATGTTCTTTTTTTTTTTAAGAGGTTGATATTTTTTGTACTTTGATATTTATTCATCTTTTACATTTTATTTATCTTTTTATTCTCTTATTATATTTGTGTCTTTATTCTCAGGTGGGAAATGTGTGCATGTAATGACAAAGAATTTCCTCTTTGGGATAAAAAATAAATTATTTTTGATTCTGGAAAGAAAATGCAATTAACAAAGGCTGCAGTTTAGGGTCTTTTTAATCATTACTTCATTTAACTTAACACAGTCGTAGCTTTTGTGATAATTATCGTCTCTTATGCCATTTGAATAAATATAAAAATACATACGTGTTGAAAAATTCTTATCTCTGCATCAGGATTTGTGTAAAATCTGCCTGAAGCTTCACTTTAAATTATATCAATTAGATATTTTCCTGATCATCTATAAGAGGCATTTATAACCTCACGCAGATAGACTTTTAATTATTGTGTTGTTTTGTGTCGTGTCCATGTAAAAATAAAATAAATAACCATTTTGATCAGACTGTGCTGGAGGTGCTGAAGGGCCGAGCCATCCCCATCTCGCTCTGGATCCTGATCGGCAGCATCATCGGTGGTTTGCTGCTGCTGGCGCTCATTATTTTCATCCTGTGGAAGGTATCGTCACCCGAAAGTGTCACTTTTCTTCAGTGTTTGAGGGGGTAAAACAAAAATACCAATATCGTTTTTGTTCTTGGCAGCTCGGGTTCTTCACGCGCAAACAGAGAGGAGAGGACGAGAACCACGAGGACTGAGCCCGGGTTCTGCTGCCACGACGGCGGCCGTTTGCCACCGGATGAGAAAGAGTCGGCCTCCTGTGGGGCGCCGAGCGAGTCCCGGTGCCGGGAGTCGAGACGAGGACGCAACGGGGACCTCCAGGACCAAAAGCCAGCATCGCCAGGGTCCAACAGAAACGCACTACCCAGTATTCCCAGGGTCGGGGGGCACTTATGTACATAAGCTTTGTTTTTTTTCTAATTTTAAGGAAAGTGTATTAAATCACAGTTCTTCTATTTAACTTACAGACGTGTTCATGGTTTTTATACTTCAGACAATCACTCGGTTCTACAGGTTTTGTTGATGAAATTAAAACTGTTCAGAGACGTTTTTATTTTTTGTGTGTGTTCTGTTTATTCACTGCTGATGCAATAAAAACCAAAACATCCCGACTATAAACTATGAAACAATCAGACCCGACAAGAAATAATAAGTACAAAAAGTGACGCTCCTGAATCGGACTCAGCTCGTGGACGTGGCCGTGGAGTTGACGTAGGACTCCAGCAGGAAGATGGTTTCGTCTACTTGGTTCTCTGCAGAGTCTAACCTGGTGGAGACAAAAGAGAGAAAACCATAAAGACCACAGAGGAGCCTCATCAGCTGTAGAGGAGAGAAGTTCGGTTTACTTGTTGATGTGGAGCCTCAGAGCGTCCAACTGCTGCTTCTCCGGAGCTGTGATCATCTCCTCCACCTCCGTCAGCTGCTCCGGTTCGGCCCCGCTGGCCTGCAGGGACGCCAGGATGGCTTCGATCCGCTGGGATTTCTCCAGCAGCCGCCTGTAAACCAGATTTAAAAGCACAATCGAATGGCTTGAAGGGGCAGGAAGACGCAACAAGGAAAAGGAAAAAGACTCACTTGCTCTCTTTGGCCTCAAACAGGCGTCGCTCGATGAGGTTGGCCACCGTCTGCAGATGGAGAAAAAAAGTGAAAACCAGAAAGGAAAACCACCTACAGGTGACGGCGTGATCGGTGGTTCACCTTGTAGCAGTTCTGCAGCAGCATCCTGGCCGTCGGCAGCTGGTTGACGGTGTAAAGGTAGAAGGTGCGAGAAGGAGCGTAGTCGGGAGTCTTTGGGATTTCCTGAAGAATAAAAAAACGTATTAGACATTGAGAGAAGACAAGCAGGTCTCAGTAGGTCATGTTATCTTTAATATTCTGAACCCTAAGCAGCAGTTTCTGGGTATTTTCTTTGGTTCTTGACACATTTTTCCTCACTGTGGTTCATTTTTTACTGCAATTTAACGTCCTGCATCTCTATGGAAAAGAACTTCAGCACGAAAACCACCCATAAACTCCTCAAAGCTTTAAAGAATAAAACCTTGTATTTCAGGACCAGATCACCCAAATGTTCACATTCAAACCGTCCATCTGTGGCTGAAGCTGCCAAAAAGCCAATTTTTGATTAAATCCTCTGAGTTATTATTCACAAAACAACCTGGAATATCAGACTGGGCGACAAATAAGGGCTTCTAGAAATATCTCATCCACTCAGAGGAGAAAAAAAAAAGGTGTGCCAAATAATTTCTAAAGTCGGTTTTTGGATCAGATTTTTTCCAGACAGTCACTCAGGTTAATATAGATCCATCACAGCCTCAGTTTGTCAGGCTTACAGGGTGTTTCCTACCTGCAGCTGCACCAGGTTCTGAGACAGCAGCGTGTACAACATGTCTTTGGCCTCCTTGGCCGGGATCATGGCGAAGTCCTCCACCTGCTTCTGCTCCAGGTGACGCTTCCTCAGCAGCAGGCGGAAAATGCGAGCGGATCTGGAGCCGAATCTGGAGACAGAACGACAAAGTTAGCGAGGAGATAATGAGGAACATGTAGACAGGGTTTAAATCAGACTCACCTCTCCTGGACGACGGACTCCAGCGTGGCTCGGGCCAGGTTAGCCAGCGCTCTGTGCAGATCTGAGACAAGAGATCAGAAAAGCTACCGTGCATCGAGAGTCATGGATTTAATGGAATAAACTGAATCCCTTTCAGACGGGTACTCTTCTCCATTAATCTGACAGCATCTGAAGGTGTCGCTTCCTGCTTACATTGTTGTAAAAGTCGTAGTTTTGCTCGTTCCAATAAGTCTGAACCACAAACATCAATTAATAGACACACGAGTGACACGTTTTTAGTCGTGTGAAGTGATTCCAGGAAGACTTTACTCGACTTTACTTCACTGAAATGACCATAAAAATCTGACTTTACTGCAACAG